GAATATGAGTTTACTGTCGGCCGGCCGGTGGGCCTGGAGTTGGGCCGGTATGTCAAACGTGTCGTTTGTCGTGCGGATGAAGCTCTCCACCCGAACCCAGTTGTCGGACATCGGTTGCAGTTCCGAGTATTCAAACTCTTTGGGCCAGAAATAGATGTTAAGGTACGGGCTGAGAGGGTGTAGGCGCCCCTCCACTAGTTTTGGTGCCCCCTTTTCTACGGTGTATTCATTGATTTGTTTGTGTAAATTATAGTATAGTTTTTGACGCCGTTCCCGGAATTTAGCCCAATCTTTGCGGTCATGTAGGGGTAGACCTATCGTTTATTTAGAAAATTAATATTTTTACATGTTTCATTTAATACAGATACTAATTTGGAGTTTACTATTTTAATAATATACCAGGATAACATGATAACATACCATGATACTATAGTAATACTAATTGTATTAAAACAGACTGAATATATTATTTTAAAAATTAAATTAATTGATTCTATGTTTAAAATTTAATGTATCAAATAAGTACTGAACAAACTATTTTTAAAAATTTACAGTCTATTAAATTAAATAAATAAATAAAACTAGATTACATACCAGCCCACGGCGGGGGTATCCTATCGTCATCATTGAGTGCAAAGGGTACGGCCGCCGCGTACAACCATACCCAAGGTATTCCACAATTAGTAATGGTCGGCATATTTACATAGTTATCCGTCACAATCAAATCGGGTTTTACTTTCTCGATGATCTCCTTATACTGTGCCTCCCGTTCCTTATTATCGGCAAACATTTTGGTCATAGTGATCACCAGGAACTTCTCGACAATAACAATGGGCTCTTCTTTGAAACACTGGACGATCTTCTTGACAACCTGTGGCCAATCCCCGTCCACTTTCAAGCCATGTATACACTCCTCGAACCCAAAGGGTAGTAGTTTTCCCTTAAAGGCCTTATCGACAGCAAACACCACCCGATGCCCTCTCCGTTTCAACTCCTCGGCCAACCCGTGAGAGGCGTTGATGTGTGCCCAACCGTTAAGTGGTGTGAACAGCACCGTTAGCTTTCTAGTAGTCATTGTAATTGCAAACTTAGTCAGAAAGTTGTATTTTCAATAAATAAATGATTATTTATTTTATGATTACTTAATTTAATTTTATTCTACGTTTATATAACATGAAAATGCATTAAATGTGTTGTCATCATAACGGTGTGATACTGGTTAAATTGCTTTTGTATTATGACTAGACCCAATGAAAAGAGGGTCAAAAATATTTATTTTATTGAAAATAAAGTATAGGGTGTCACATTGCATTACAACCAATATAATTTGTTTATACAATAATTCAATTGAAAATAAATTGATTAAATTTTACAAATAAATATTTTGAAAGATTATCTGGTAGCAAACTTTGTCTTCGGTCTGTTAGCATACTTTTTAACAGCGAAAATGATCTCTCCACTGAAGTGGTGGTCAAATGAGCATTTAAGTACATTGGGTCGAAATGAGCACTTTTATAGTCCAAAAAGTATTTAATATCGGGATTCTTTTTCAGGCAATTATCAAGTTTTCGCCAGCATATGTATCCATTTGTTTAATCCTAACATTATTTAAAATTGATATTTGTTGAGGAACAGGAAGATTTCCTTCTAATTTTTTATCAAATCCGTTAATACTGTAAATTTGGAAAGATTTTCAATTTCTGTTTTAAGGTTTGAATTTTGTATGAGTTGTTTAATTGCAGCAATATTTTCACTTTTACGCACAGGAATTGCGTTAATAAATTTACAAATAGTTTTAAAATTGTTTGCATAATAATATGAAGCACTTAGCCAACTGCCCCATCGAGTTATCACTGGCGCCGGAGGTAATGGAATGTTACAATTAACGAAATCCCTAAATTGTTGTCTTCTTTTTGGAGAATTTGTAAACAATTTTTTCATTTTTGATATGAATTGATCTGCAATTTTATTGTTATCTCTTATTTTCTCACAAACCCTGTGCAATGCATGTGCGTAACACGTGACGTGTTTAATGTTTTTAAACTCTTTTTTAGCCAATTCGATAGCCGCTAGATTGGCTGGGGCTGCATCGGTGACACACAATAACACTTTGTCATACTTTATTCCTACTGAATCACAAGCATTTTTCATACTTTTGTATAATGTTTTTGCATCACATTTATTGAGGAATTGTGTTGAAATAAGATATGGTTGTGATGACTCACAATCTCGTTTCAAAATACCTACTAGTACATTGAATACAGATCTTTGACAGGTATCTGTCTTTTCATCAAATTGTACGAAGTCATCATTGTCACCAATTATTTCTTTCACTTTTTCTAACACTAATTTACAAACTTTCGGCACATATTCATTCCTAACATGTGCTGGAGTTGGAATATTATGTCCAGTTTCTACACTTAAAAATCTCTTAAATGTTATATTATTCAGTTTTTCTATTGCAATGTCTGCTGATATGAATGCTAAAGTAAGGCGCATTATAAAGTCTTTGACAATACCCTTGGGCGTTTGTTTGGTTTGTGTTTGTAGTATAGAACTCAAATTTTTAGTGGACTTACGCTTATTTGAATTATTTGTATTCTCAACATGTTTTTTGTTGTCCTTAAGATGTCTATTAACATTATTAGTTCCGTGTTTTAAATCAAAACATTCAAAATAATATTCACAAGGAATACACTTTAACTTTCCCTTATGGATACAAAGATTGTCATCCTTTTTGCACAAATTATTCATTGAAATGATTATTCTGTCATTTTCGGTCATATTATTATTATTATTATTATTAAAATTAATAAAACTTTGTGTAAATGATGTATTCATTGTAAATGAAGTGTGAATTAAACAAATTAAATGATTTGAAGAGTTTGTATCAAAGTTTACATAAAATCCAATTATTTGTCACAAAATGCATGTGTTTTGTGTTTTGGGATTGAATGCGAAAATGCAGTGAATTTGTCGATGAATTGCAATTCAATTGATTTGAATTCATGTAAAATAAGTGATAAAATGCTTTCCAATCACAACACCATTAATACACTAAACACTTATTTTTGAAAAATCCATGCTTTCAGATCACATGTTTAATCACATGAAATATTTTGTAAACATCTCACAAAATAAGTCATAAGATTATCGTATCTATACTGAACACACTTTACTTTCATATAAAACCTGTTTAATGCAGTAGTTTTATACATCTACACCCTCTTTTCATTGGGACCAGAGATGAAAATTACATGTAATTTATTTTTTCACTCGGTAACTTACGTAACTTACGGTAACTTACGGTATTTTTCGTAAGTTATTATTTCATCATATATAAATATTTTTACCTAACATTGTTAAATAGTGAATATGAAACAATTCATTTTTACATAAAAACCAAAATAATAGTAATAGAATTGTTACTTAAATAAACAAATTTAACTAAATTCATTTATTTTTGAAAATTAATTAAATTTATGTAAATTTTAAAGTTTATTAGAGTGAGTTTCAGATATTTTGCCAATAGATGTCTCTAGTAAGGGCTTTGTAAGTTACATGTAAGTTATTTTTTGGTTGTAAGTTACACGTAAGTTACGCGTAAGTTACAGTGTAAGTTACGTAACTTACAAGAGCTTACATCTCTGATTGGGACTAATTATGACATTTAAACAAAAAAGACATTAAACAGATAACAAACAAGAGACTGAATTTTATTATCAAAATCTTAATGAGTGTTTGTAAAGTGAAATGTAATACAGTATAATTAAACGCAAAATATAATCTTATTTGCGGTACACTATTATAAATAAATTAAACTTATTTTGCACTCATGATATTGACAATGGTCTGGGTCGTTCAGTACAATCTTAAAGTGTGCATGCACGATTTTAATATAAATAGTCTATTGTAATAAATTAAATAATTATTAATTTTAAATTATTTAATGCATACATTTAATGGATATAAAAGTTTCGCCAAAATACTGCGGACTCGTGTTAAATTTAGTATTTGTTAGAATTGAGCTAGATTAAAACAAAATTTTTTGCAACTATGCATTTTTGGCACGATAACGTGGATATGCCAACTTTTACTCAATTCTCAAAGGAACGGTAGGGAACGGTAGTTTTTAAGAATCTTAAATTACTTGAAAAGTATCCAATATTTTTAGATTTTGATTTTTGGATTTAATGCACAGGGTCAATACCAAAAAACTAAATTCTAGATTTCACAAAATTTTGTCTTGTTGATTTTTAAATAAATATTTTATTTTAAAATGTCTACATTTTAAATCCATTTATCTTAGCACTGGATTAATGTATCAGGATAATTCCAAATGGGTTCGAAAGGTCTTTAAAAATACTAAAATTAGTTTGCGTGCAGCCCGGCTGTAAATATTATGCCTGGCATTCTATCCTAGGTATAAATATTTTCTATGTAATTTCATTATACAGGTAAAGGTGTAAAACAATAAAACCTGTTGCTAATTAAATACATAGAAAATATTTATAACCCAGACCATTATCAATATCATGAGTGCAAAATAAGTGTAATTTATTTATAATAGTGTACCGCAAATAAGATTATATTTTGCGTTTAATTATACTGTATTACATTTCACTTTACAAACACAATTAAGATTTTGATAATAAAATTCAGTCTCATGTTTGTTATCTGTTTAATGTCTTTTTTATTTAAATGTCATATTATATTCAAAAGCAATTTAACCAGTATCACACCGCTATAGTGACAACATATATAAATTATTATATCTAATATATCAAATATAAGGTCTTTGCAATTGAAATGTCGTTTTCGGGACACTATGTCTGAATGGCTCTAAAATTTCATACGATTCAGTTAAAATTATTTTGATTTATACAATAATAGTTCTAATGTGTGGCTTTAATTCTGTATATATGTTGCATTAAAATGATTTAATATAAGGTAGGAAATCTATCTAGAAAATCATCAAATTCATATCAATCTCAGCAATGGTCTTTAGGCTGAGTCACAGGTCATAATGTTTCAACCAGGTCAACTTAATATACATCGTCTGAAAGCTAAGATATAGACCTTTCAAATAAGGTATATATTGATAAAATGTGATGGGTATTTTTCAATTAATCACATTTCAAAAATTAGGATTAATTATAGTTTTTTTCATATCAAGCTCATATTTTGTCCATAATAACAATGTATTTGCTACAATTTATCCTGGAATAAATACAAATTTTAGTCAATTTTTGAAATGTGATTAATTGAAATAATAGGTCGTTCACGTGAAAATTCGTCTGGCAAAACTTTAATAAGTTTTTTGTTATGACTCTTAGCCAAAATCGGTAAAAAGTATTTCATACGTCTATTTAATGCAGTTCTTGTCCAATTAATTAAAATTTATAAAAAATTAAAAGTCATTAAAATTATGGGACAAACTCAAAGGTCATATGCACAGGTCAGACCAAAGGTCATAGGTCAAAATAGTTAAATACATCTTGAAGAGCAATAAATAAACTTTCATTTAAGCTATTGTTCATAAAANAAAATAGTTAAATACATCTTGAAGAGCAATAAATAAACTTTCATTTAAGCTATTGTTCATAAAAACCTAATTGCTTATAGAGCCAAGGTAATATAAAATGTGACAGGATTTCCCATGCTAATGACAAAAATTTTGGAATTGATTGAATATTAGTATCTCAATATATGCAACCAATAGTGTAAATAATATATATGAAAGAATTTTTAATTTATTAAAATCAATAAAAGAATAGCAGAGGTTTGAATATTCTGGATTTTGTCTTTTATTGAGCATAAATCAAAAATTTAAAAACGTTGGCATTCCTTTATTAATTATAATAATTTTAAAATTCTTTCATATATATTATTTGCATTATTGGTCCCATATATTGAGATACTAATATTCAATCATTTCCAAAATTTTTGTCATTAGTATGGGAAATCCTATGTCACATTTTATATTACTTTGGCTCTATAAGCAATTAGGTTTTTATGAACAATAGCTTAAATGAAAGTTTATTTATTGCTCTTCAAGATGTATTAAACTATTTT